GGCCGGCCGGGGCAGGGCTGGGGTGCCGGGCCGGGGCGCGCCCCCGCCATGGAGCGCGCAGGGACACGGGCGTTAGAAGAAGGAGCTTCGCGGGGCAGCCTGAGGCCGCCGTGCAGCGTGGAACCCCGGCGGCCTGCGGTGCGGCTCGCGGAACCCGCTGCTGTTCTGCTGAGCGCAGTTACTTTACATTTATAACCCGTGAGCGCTTGTGTATTTTTCCAAGTGCCACATAAACATCAACGGAACAGTTCCTGCAAAGTCCTCAGGGCTCCGCAACGAGGAGCGGTACCGCTACGGGGAAGATGCAGAAACCGTTCCTTGCCGCGGGGGCAGGGGCTGCTCGCAGCGCTGCCGCACCTTTGGGTACAACGTCTCGTTTTTAAAAGTTTATACATGGGCAGTAAAGACATTTTACCATAGGGTGAGTAGCTCTTACTATAAAATACGTAACTTTTTTAATAATAGTGAATAAAAATAAGGAATAAAGAATGCTAATTGAAAAGGTTTTTAGCTTTTTTTCAGTCAACAGGTGAATGTTCCAGAATGAGCGGGCGAGTTTCAGGGGGGTGTATCGCAGTGACCGTTAAATCTGACTGTCTGGTGAAGTCCCGGCCTGTCCCATTTGGAAGTCACGATAGCCAAAGCTGGCTGCGGACACTGTTAACCCACACGAGATGTGGCTCATACTGCTCATTCAGGGGAGAGAACAGAGAGGACAGAGTTCAATAAGCGACCAGAAGCTCCGTGTTCTGTCCGAACTCCTTTTGTCTGGAAACAGGGCCTCAAGAGAGGGCACTGCTTTCAGGCTGCATGGGAGAGGACCTGTTCAGGCACCAGGGCTTGGACTGATTCCCGGCCCCGCATCCAGCTCCCGTTGAAATCAACGGGGTACCACTGCTTAACCTTTTTGCTCATCCAAATTCTGGACACTCCAATGAGGAGGACCACACAAGTCCACCAGGAACATCTCGTCTGTCCACACAGTGTCCTTCCAGGCCACATAAGTTCAAGAAATATTAAAGCCTATATGCAATAATGTACCAACATTTTGGTCTACATGTAGGATTATTCAGTCACATCTGTATCACGCAGCTCATTTATCCTGAATGTCATGTGAAGCACTATGAGAAAAAATAATAAAATAATTGTAAAATGCTGGTTTTGCCTGTCCTTACGGTTTGTCATCCCATTGTAGGACAACAGCAGCCCGTTGCTTATACAGCTTGATTCCGTCCTCTATAATATGAATTGTGATGCTACCCTGTGAAAATAACCTCACATTACTTAGACTGCAAAATTCTGATCCTGATTTTAAAACCCACTTCACAATTCAGAGCTGTTCCCAAACACGTTTTGACTCAATGCATGACAGTGATGAAGGCATTGCTCTTTTTTAAATTCAAGCGATGTATAGCTTGAAGGTTTTGCTTAATTATAGATAGATTTTGTCATAATCTCTTATTCAGGCAAGCTGAGAAGTAATACAAGCAGCAGCAAGCAATAAACATCTGAATTCCAAAGTTCTGTAAGGTATATGGTGGTAAACTGCTCACGACAACAGAAGTATTGTCCTTTATTACTACGCTGTGTCTTTTTGACAGGGGAGGCCAGTAAAACAGGAAAGAATCCCAACAAAGCCACTCAGAAATGTCCATTACTGCACAATGGGGACGTAAGTGTGGCGGAAGGGTGGCCAGACGTGGAGAAAGGCAGGTATTACCTACCTTCCCTCTTAACATCCTCAATATTTTTTTATGGTACTTCAGTGCTTTCAAATAAAACCCCAATCACCACGAATTACCCCACTTTACCCCACTTCCAGATTCTGAGACCTAAATTTAATGCACGTAATAATTTTTTGAAACGCTGCTTGTGAGCGGAGCCAGTGTTGTTCCATGTTGTAGCCCGTATCAGTCTTCATTTTGAGGGAGTAACGTGCAGCAGTACATTGTCATAAATCATTAAAAAATTGAGGAAGTTATAATTTTTACACCAATATATTCCATATTAAGGCATAAGCAAGCTTAATACTTGATAATTAGAGATGTTTAAAAAAACAGTTGCAAGGAGGGATTTTTTTCCTTACGACCAAGAGGAACAGTTTACAGGCCCAGCGATGACATGTCACCGCAGCACAGAAGCTGGTTGGGGTAGAGGGGGAAGCACAGAGAGCGTGGATAACTTAGGATTGCCTTTGAGAGGTTTTTAAAACTTCCTGGCTCTGCGGCTTTCAGGCAGCCTGGCATCACTGCAGCCCACAGAATGGATTTTTAATTTTTAATTTAACTTTGACAGTTTCTACTGCCTTCAAAAGGGCTTTATTCTCTTTAGAAACAGCATTTGCATGCTAGCTACTCTCTGTCTTGATCTTTGATGCGCAACTGTAATATCTAATACCGAAACTTCAATATGTATGTAAAATGCAGTTGGATTCGCAGTAATATAAAGTTTTTGTGTTTAGGATGAAGGTCTGGAACACAGGAGATCTGAGATAGAACTTTGCTAACACACATCTGTCTGGCCACTATCACTGGAACGATCTTGCAAAAGCTTTTGAATAAACTAGGAGACACCGCCTCATTTTTAAAGTGCAGTTTAAGCACATGAAAGACACTGTACAAGTGACTTTAGATGTAAGACAGGCTTCTTTTTTTTTTAATACTTCGGTTTTGTTCCACTCACTATTGTCCAGATGTTCAGTGAAATATTGGCCTAATTACCTGAAAGGTTCAACTTAGCCTCCACCTACAGATCTGGGTTTAGAACCTTTTTATAGGTGACTTAGAAATCTGTAATGGAAGTTAAGCATTTAACTGCCGAGTGCCTACTTTCAAAGTGCTAACTGTCCAACTTTGTCAGTAAGTACCTAAATTTTACAGCCTGGCCCTAAGGACGTGAAAAAAATTACCTTCAATTTCTCTACTCCTGCTTTCTTTGTTTATAAAATGAACATACTGTTCCCTTTCCTCTCTGGCCTTTCTCAGACTATAAACTCTCCCAGGCAGAAGGTGTCTGTTCTGTATGCTTCTGCATCCTCATGCTTATCATTTGTATCAGAGTAGTGTTTATATTAGCTAAGTTATACTAGTTTATTTAACCCATTTGCTTCTAAGAAAATAGTACTCAGGCTGCCATTTACAACTCCCAGAAGTTGAAAAAAAAAAAAAATCCTTTGAGTAATTCCTTAAGAATGCATCACTTTGTCAAAAAAGACCAATGTCACTTGTATCATAACAAGCCCAGCAAAACTGTAGAACTGTTCCCCAGCAACGAAGCCTGAAACCGTCAAGTGTCCTTAACGTTTGCTGAAGGAATCAGATATGAACAAACTGTCTACTTAATCTTTAAAAGTCTCCTGGCTACTGATTACAGAGGTGCCGCCAAACTGAACTCCAACATTTTTAAGCATGTTTCAAGAAACTTGGTATCTGGCAAGCCTTGGTACCGGGAGATTCAGGGGGGAAGCGAGGTGATGAACCAGGTACAGGAAAAGAAATACGAAACT